GCCCTTCCAGCACCCCCGGATCAATGCTGGACAGGCACAAATCCCGTGGATATAACTCAGCCCTGCCTGTGACAGCGGCCAGCTGTGCCCTCAGGCTGCTGGCAGCACACCAGGGACAGTGACACTGCTGGAGCCACCCTAACAGGGACAGTGACACTGCTGAGCCACCCCATCAGTGACAGTGACACTGCTGGAGCCACCCCATCAGGGACAGTGACACTGCTGAGCCACCCCATCAGTGACAGTGACACTGCTGGAGCCACCTCATCAGTGACAGTGACACTGCTGGAGCCACCTCATCAGGGACAGTGACACTGCTGGAGCCACCCCATCAGGGACAGTGACACTGCTGGAGCCACCCTAACAGGGACAGTGGCACTGCTGGAGCCATCCTAACAGGAACAGTGGCACTGCTGGAGCCACCCCATCAGTGACAGTGGCCATGCAGGAGCCCGTCCTGCCCAGTTCAGTGACAGTGACCATGCTGGAGCCCCGTCCTGTCCCCCCAGACCCCAAGCAAGGCCGGCCCCAGCCCCTCACCTGTAGATGGACACGTTCTCGATGAGCTCGTTGGTGCTGCCGTCCCTCAGGACGATCCCCCGGGGTGACACCTTCAATGTCACCTTCTGCAGCTTCTTCCCGCTGGCCTTGGCCTTGGGGAGGGAACGGGGACAGGGAGCTCCAGGGTTTAACCCTGCTGCTCTCGGGGTGAGGAGAGGCTCTGCTGCCACCCCAAACAGCTCTGGGGCAGGATGAGCGCAGCAGGTCAGAGCCTCCTCAGCCCAGGGTCACCCCCAGGGTCACCCTCAGTGTCACCCTCAGTGTCACCCCCAGGGTCACTCATCTCCAGGGTCATCCCCAGGGTTACCCTCAGTGTCACCCTCAGTGTCACCCCCAGGGTCACCCACACTGCTGGAGGGGCTGGGACTGCAATCTCGCGCACCCACAGCTGCAATCCCAAACCCTCCTGGAGCTGCAATTCTGATCCTCCAGAGCTGCAATCCCGACCCCAAAGAGATGCAATCCCGATCCTCCTGGAGCTGCAATTCTGATCCCCCAGAGATGCAATCCCGACCCTCCAAAGCTGCAATCTTGAGCACCCAGAGCTGCAATCCCGACCCCCCCAGAGCTCCAATCCCAACCTCCAGAGCTCCAATCCCACCCCCAGAGCTCCAATCCCAAACCCTCCAGAGCTGCAATCCCAAACCCTCCAGAGCTGCAATCCCAAATCCTCCTGGAGCTGCAATCCCAAACCCTCCAGAGCTGCAATCCCAAACCTTCCAGAGCTGCAATCCCAAATCCTC